TGAATGTAATGCAAGGAATACTGGAATGTTTTGCTGACATACCACTGCACCCATCTCAAACCACAAAGAAAAACATGTTGTTACGTTACCTCCATTGAGAGATGGCCTCAATTTACTTCCCAATTAGAAAAAAGGCCTTTACACACTCATCCCTTTCCCCCTTTAATTAAATTAAAACTGGTAACCGTATAACCTTAGTCTTGTCTTTGCATATCTCAAAAATATCTTTATCATGTTACATGGTATGCAAGTTTGAATCTTACCTCCCCCATTCCACTGAATTTGAAAAAGTGTGCTTTGCACATGAAAGCTCATACCTCAAACCTTTGTCAGCCTTAAAGGTGCCACTGGACATTTGTTCTAATGGCCAGCCAGTCCCTCTGGAGGACCAACAACAGGGCAGAAAGGCCGAGGCCTTCCCCTGAGAAGAACCTCAGAAGAGCCCTGATGGGTCAGACCGATGGTTCACCTAGTCCAGCATCCCGTCTCACACACAGGCCAACCAGTTCCTCTGGAGGGCCAACAGCAGGACAGGGAGGCCGAGGCCTTCCCCTGAGAAGAACCTCAGAAGATCCCTGCTGGATCAGACCAGGGAGGGTCCATCTAGTCCAGCCTCCTGTCTCACAGAATGGCCAACCAGTTCCTCTGGAGGGCCAACAACAGGGCAGAGAGGCTGAGGCCTTCCCCTGAGAACCTCAGCCCAGCTGGATCAGACCAGTGAGGGTCCCTCTAGCCCAGCATCCCGTCTCACACAATGGCCAGCCAGTTCGTCTGGAGGGCCAAGAAACAGGGCAGAGAGGCAGACGCCAGTGAGGGTCCATCTAGTCCAGCCTCCCGTCTCACACAGGGGCCAGCCAGTTCCTCTAGAGGGCCAAGAAACAGGAAAGAGAGGCAGAGGCCAGTGAGGGTCCATCTAGTCCAGCCTCCCGTCTCACACAGGGGCCAGCCAGTTCCTCTGGAGGGGCAGCAACAGGGCAGAGAGGCCGAGGCCTTCTCGATAAGAGCATTAGAAGATCCCTGCTGGATCAAACCAGGGAGGGTCCATCTAGCCCCACATCCTGTCTCACACAGTGGCCAAGCAGTTCCTCTGGAGGGCCAACAAGAGGGCATAGAGGCCGAGGCCTTCCCCTGATGTTGCCTCCTGTGGGGTATCAGAGAGTGATGGCCTGTAAATCTGGAAATTCCCTAGAAGATCCCTAAAGACCAATGAGGGTCCATCTAGCCCAGCAACCTCACACAGTGGCCAGCCAGTTTCTCTGGAATGGCCAACCACCAGGCATACAGGCCGAGGCCTTCCCCCAATATTGCCTCCTGGCTCTGGGATTCAGAGGTTGACTGCCTCTGAATGTGGAGGTTCCCCTCAGCCACCATGGCTGTTCTAAGACTTATCCTCCACGAATCTATCTAATCCCCTTTTGAAGGTGTCCAGTATCAGGAGTATGGTAAAAGCATTGGGAGTGAACTCCCCCATCCTTGTTGAGAGCTTGGGACAGGTTCAATGGCCCGTCTGTTAAGGAAAGATGGTGGATAAAATGGAAGCTGCCTTCTACTGCCTCACAGACCCCAGGGTCTGCTAAGCCACGGCCCCTCCCCAAAGCTCCTTATTGACCGTGTGTCAAATTCTACGGCACAACCAAGCTTTACAATGAGCCACACAAGGACATCAGAAGAGCCCTGCCGGATCGGACCAATGACCCACCTAGTCTAGCATGCTCTCTCAGTGGCCAACCACGTCCTCTGGAGGGCCAACCATCAGGCATAGAAGAGTTGGTTTTTATAACCTGCTTTCCCACTACCCGAAGGCGTCTCAGAGCAGCTTACAATTGCCTTTCCTTCCCCTCCCCACGACACCCTGAGAGGTAGGTGGGGCTGAGAGAGCTCTGACAGAAACTGTGACTGACCCAAGGTCACCCAGCTGGCTTCAAGGGGAGGAGGGGGCAATCAAACCCAGTTCTCCAGATTTGAGTCCATCGGACCTAACCACTACATCAAACTGGCTTCCCCCAATAGTATCTCCTGACTCTGGCAGTGGAAGGCGTAGCGGCTCTGAATGTGGAGGTTCTCCTCAGTTACCGTGGCAAGCAGACATGGTTACTTATCCTCCACGAATGCATCTAATCCCCTTTGAAAGCGGTCTGTATCCGTGGCCATCACTGTGGCGTCCTTCCTTATAGGGGAGACGGTAATACCTTTAAACACTCTCTGTGTACATAAACTTGGTAGTTTTCTGCTGCCACTAGTAATTAAAATTCCAACCCTCTCTCTTTTGGTAGTATGACCTAGGGTCTGGGCACTTAGGAGGACTATGTGGCCCTGAGGAAGGACTCTTCTGATTTCTGGGATACGTTTAAACAAAAACTGATTTATTAAATAAAGAACGAAATAGGTTTCTGGTTATTTTGAACAGTTGCTGAAGAAAGGAACTTGTAAATATAACTGGCAAAGCTTGGTGCCACAAACAGTCTCTCAAACTCCACTCTGACAGGCATAGACAGTCTAATCTTTCTCATACATACAGCCACACAGACTAATCTCTATGTTTTATTCACACAGAATAGAATCAACTCTCTTAGTCACACAGACTAAACTGTTGGTCTTATTCACACAGAATTAGACTCAAGATTCCATAGACACACAGACTATGTTCTCTCTTCAAGCTTCACACACAGAATCCTTCTAACTCTCAGAGCCACACAGACTCTCCTCGAAACTCTTCCTTACTTGTCTATCTCATATCAGACTCTCCTCACACACATAGAATCCTCTCAGACACCCCTTTTCCCACACTCTCAGTCAGCAGCCAATCAAATCACACTTGTCACCCTCTATCACTCTTCACATATTACAGCTGACAAACTAAACCTTTAAAGGAACACACACACCAAAACATGGAATCATTACGATCACTATAACCTCTGGCAGCGAATGTCACAATTTTAAATTACATAAAGCAGCCTTGGCTGGGAGGGCGGGGTATACATTTGATTAAAAAAATAACATAAAAATTCCCCTTTGTCCATCCTGAATTGACTGCCCATCACAGCATGCCCTCAAGTTCTAGTCTTTTGGGAGAGAAAAATTTACCTCGAACTCTCTCTCCACCCCAGGCATAATTTTGTGTGTCCCCCCCCCCCGTTGCCCTTTTTTTAAACTTAAAAAGCCCCGAACTCTCCAAGCCTCTCCTCCTAAAAAGGAGAAGAGATTGGATTTATACCTTCACTTGGGAGTCTCAGAGCGGCTTACAAACTCCTTTCCCTTCCCCTCCCCACAACAGACATCCTAAGGAAGGGGCTCCAGCCCTCTCATCATCTTGGGTCGCCCTCCTCTATACTTTTTCCACCTCTGCAATGTCCTTTTGGAGATACAGTGATCAGATACGGAGAGATCAGAGCAGCACACTTCAGGAGCGAGCAGTGTCTCACAAAAGCTCATGCCCTACAAATGTAGTCTCTGAAGCACTGCTGGACTCTCTTCTACGGCCGAAGAATCCACTGAGCTTCTCTCTGCCCCCCCCCCCCCCCAGTTCTCCTTTAACCATCCATCCATTCCTTGGTCATCCACAGGCCCAACCTCCCCTTCCCTAGCCAGTTTTCCTGCTCCCTGGTGTATCTGAAGAAACGGCCACTTCTTTGGAGAGACGCTCGGGTTTTGCCATTCGTTCTTCAAATGCTTGTGGCTCGGCTTATTGTCAAATCACGTTTGTTTCGCCAGAAGTTGTGCTCCTGGTCAGTTGGGCCAGCCGTCCAATTTTTAAAAGAAAGCGTGGTGTGGCAGTTCAGAGCGACAGACTCTAAACCTGGAGAGCCAAGTCTCATTCACCACTCCTCTACAAGAAGACAGCCGGGTGACCTTGGGTCAGTCACGGCTCCTTCGGAGCTCTCAGCCCCAAAACATAAGTGTAGCTTGCCACCTAGTGGTGCATAACACTAAAAGACTTAGAACACAAGGCTGCCAGACAATCTTAAGTTCTTTCTGGCTATACGCCACACAGCGTCCTACGGTTATTATCACTACACCTCCCGTTGGCTCTGCGAAGTCACCCATTCTCCCTCCTTTGGCCCTCCTTGGAAAGCCAAATTCATTCAGTTGACAAAACACGTAAATAACCCAAAGGTAAAAGGTAACGGTTCCCTTGCTCGAAAGCCAGTCGAATCCGACTCTAGGGTTGCGGCACTCATCTCCGTTTCGGACAGCCAGCGCTGTCCGAAGACGTTTTCCATGGTCATGTGGCCGGCATGACTAAACACCAAGGTGCACGGAACGCTGTTACCTTCCCACCAAAGTGGTCCCTATTTATCTACTTGCAATTTCTTGCTCTCGAACGGCTAGGTTTGCAGGAGCTGGAACTAGAGACGGGAGCTCACTCCGTCATGCGGCACCCGGGTCTCGAACTGCTGAACTACCGACCTTCCACAGCCCGCAGGTCAGCGTCCTAACCACTTGAGCCACTGCAGCTCCAAACCACCCAAAGCCCATCCCAAATAACTCAGTGGGGCTCTTCTATCGGCTCGTCTCCTTTGCCAGGGCAAGAGTGCCTCAAACACACGCTCTGGCAGCCGGCCAAAAACATCTGAAAGCCAGTGTGGTCCTGAAGGGAGAGGTGGTGGTGGTGGTAAAGGCAGGCAGAGCGGGGCTTTCTGGAGATGTGAGGCAAAAAGAGGCAGCCACACGCCGGGGGAATCCGGGGGGGGGGGGGGTTGAAGGAACAGGTCAGGGCCACAGGAGCCCGACCCCTGTGCATAAGGAGGGCCCCACAATATGGCCTCCCAAGAGATGGTGGCGGGACAGCCGCTTGCTGGCGTCATCAGGAGAATGTGCCTCACACTCCACCCGCATACTGACAAGGCAGACTCCAACCAAATACTGGGAAAAGGAGCCCCCCATGCCTCTGAGAGAAGACGGAATTGGGCAGGAGGAGCGGGGCCTGCTTCGCCTTGGCCCCTCGGCAGCCAAACCCCGCCCCCCCCATCTCTCATTACAAAGGCAGCACCAGAGTGCATAATATTTTTTTTTATTTACATGTTAAAGAGCCAGAAAGTTTAACATACAGTAAGATGAAACGGAGCCCCAGGAGTTCCACAAGGGCAGGGAGGAGGGAAAATCAAAGGAACAGTAGAAAAAGAATTGTACAGTCAACATAAAAAAAAAAAACCCAAGGGGGGAGCCGGGGTCTGCCCCGTCCCCCATGGGGAGTGGGTGAAGAACATGCTGTCTCCCTTTCGCCCGGGTACATCCACAGGGGGGCACACAGGGGCTCCACCTCCCAGGGAAAACCACTGATGGAGAAATAAATAAAAAAGGGCCTCGGCCGCGGGGAGCAGAGGCGCTCCCCCCCCAAACTGCGTGGGGGTCCCAGTACGAGCGAGTGACCACCACCCTCCCCCCCGCTCGGCAATCCCCTCCTAGGAGGGAGGGCCTCACAAACCAAACTTGCTGAACGCTTCATAAAAACCACAAGTTTTAATTCAACCAAACAGTAAAACACTGCTCCCCCCCCTTTGCCGGGGGGTGGGTGGGCAAACTGTACAGAGCCCCCCCCCGCCCCCATGCCACAGCACAAACACAGCCGGGGGCCAGCTCGTGCCCCAGAGTCCAAAGGGGGGGTGGGGGAGATGGGCAGCCGGCCGCGAGGGCCCCCTTCCCCCCGGCAGCCAAGTCCCTTCCCGACTTGAGTTCTGGTCCTGCAGAACCTCTTCCCGCGCCAGGGGCTCCTCTGCGTCCCCCCGCCCCAGAAATCAGCCGCCTAGCTGGAGTCCGAGTCACTCGTGTCGGAGGAGGAGGATGAGGAGGACGAGGAGCTGCTGGAGTCCGAGCTGGAACTGCTGGCGCTCAGGCGGGAGACCGACACCGCCTGCTGCTGCTGCGACTCCGGCTTCTCGTGGGCTGAGCGGGAGAGAAAAGGAGAGAGGGGGCTGGAGTGAGCGGCCAGGCCCTGCAGGCTCCAGGGGGAGGGGGAGGCCCGGCACTCGCTCACTCACTCACCCTTCTTGGGGGGCTTCTTGGCCGAGTTCAGCTGTCCGCTGACGTCCTGCAAGCGCTTCTCCAGCTCCCGCTTCTTCTCCAGGGCCAACTCCTCCTTCGTCTTGCCCACCGGCTTCTTCAGGGCTGCGGAGGGAGGAGGGGAAGGGGGTGTGTGTCAAAGACCGCTCGTGGACCCCCCCCAAAAAAAACCCCTCACACTCACACCTAAAGCTCCCCCTCCAAGCTGCGGAGTCTCGTGAGCAAAAATCCTACTCGGTGAGCTCCTGGCATCAAAGTTGTGAGCGAGCCGCTTGGCCGCTGCATCAATTAGTCTGCTCTGGAGCCCCATCCTTCCTGAGCAAAGACAAAAAGGTGTGAGCCAGAGGCTGAAAAAGGGTGAGCTGACTCACATTAACTCAAGCTTAGAGGGAACACTGCCCACACCCTTTGCTCGACACACACTCCAAAGGCACAAGCAAGTCTTCTTTCCTCAAGGCCGCTGGCTTGCAGGACACAGGCACCCCCGGCCCAGTTGGGGGGGGGGGGATGGCTGGTCCAGTCACCAGTGTCCCCTCTCAGCTGTGCGAGCGTGACCAGCTCCACAGTTTCTTAGCCTCCGGCTCACACATTTTTGTCTTAGCCCGGAAAGGATGAGGCTCCAGAGCAGACTCTAATTGATGCAGCAGCCAAATGGCTCGCTCAAAACTTTAATGCTAGGAGCTCACAAAGTAGACATTTATGCTCACAAGACCTCCGCAGCTGAGAGGGAGCACTGCCAGGACGAGGCCACCGGTCAACTCCAGAGCAGAACTGCCCAGACCTCAACAGAGCCAGCTCCTGGAGCAAGAGATGTCTAAATCCTCCAAAAATGGAGGCGAACAGGAACAGGAAGCTGAGCCGCCAAACACCCGAGACAACTAATGACAAAGGACTCCGTCCAAACAGATCCCCTTTCATGGCCTCTACACGCTTCCAGGAAGCTCTACAATTCCCCCACGTGTTAGAACTGGACAGAGCACGGTTTCCAAAAATCTCAGCCTTCTCCCTTCTTAGAAAAAACAACATGCATACAACTCCCCCCAAAAAAGTCTCACAATTTTGAAAAGTGGCACAGAAAGATTTACAGGGGCTGAGCACCAGAGCCCAGCATACCAGAGCCACACAGAAACTTAATCCATCATTACATCCAGTTCTGAGTTGGCCACACAAGGAGGCCAGGAGCAGATGGGGGATTTTCCAACAAGTCGGGGGGGGCGGGGGGGGGGGGGACCCCAGGTGTGCAAAAAACCAAAACGAAATAGGAAAGGTGCTGGGGATCAGAAAGCCCCCAAATCACGGAAGCCATAAATGCCGCTTTAGGGAAAGTGCCTCAGGGAGATCTTGCAAGAGTCACAGGAGACCCTCAGTGGCCGTTCTGGGAGCTTGTAAGGCCATCCACCACCAACAACGCAAAAGGTTCGAAGGCTCCATTCATGGTAGCCCGGGGTGGGGGTGGGGGTGGGAGAGAGAATCACACCAAAGAAAGTGGGAGAGAAGAGGAAGCTAAAGAAGAAGCATTAAAAGGGCAACAAGGAAAAGTAAAGATGGATGTCAGACATGCCAGATGAGGCCCCCGGAGGGCTTCCATCAGGCCCGCAGTGGAACTGGCCATCTCTTTGCTTCCAGTTCTGCTGCTGCCGCATCCTAGCTTGCTTCGCCAGACTCTCTTAATCACCCCGCCCTTTCATGTTTTCCCCTGGGTCCTGGACTCAGAACCCTGAGCATGATTTCTGTGGTGAATGTCAATCAATCAAAAGTAGGTTTGCAGCTTACAGAGCTAATGTTCTGAACATGTTTTTATTTTAAGCAAAAAAACCCCTTTGTGTTTGTGTCCTTTATAAAGTTTATATCTCCACTACCTGGCATTACAGTTTATGACACGCCCGGCCCGGCCCGGCAAGGTCTCATTGATGTCAGATCTGGCCCTCAGAACAAATGAGTCTGACACCCCCGATGAAGAGCATGTTCATATAATGGAGCAGAAGTCCATCAGTGGCTATTGGCCGCAAACTATTGATGGAACCCTGTTTTGGGCAGGGATGCTGTCTTCTTGGGGCTTGGGTGACAACAGTGGGAGGGCTTCTGAAGTTCAGGCCCCGCTGCTGGACCTCCTGAGGGCACCTGGGTTTATGGCCACTGTGTGAGACGGAGTGTTGGACTGGATGGGCCATTTACCTGATCCAACAGGCCTTCTCTAATGTTCTTAACAGAAAACAGGTACAGGAGTGAGCGAGAGCAGAGGCTGCATGGCGGGGGTGGGGGTATTTTGGAGAGGCTATAGTCCAGGAGAAGGCGGACAGGGAAAACCAGCCGGGGGTGGGGGGAAGGAGACTGCCCTGAGTCCCCCACTGCCCTGAATGTCTACCCCCTGGAAGAAAACCCTCCTCCCTTCCCCATGTTGATTTCTCTCCACCCACCCCCCGGAAATGAGACCTGGCCCCTGCCCCCCCATGGCCCCCACTCACTCTCGCTGTAGGGCTTGCGGGGCTTCTTGCGCAGGCAGGAGAGGACGTAGCGCTCCAGCTCCCGCAGGGTGGAGGGCTTGAGGGTCTCAAAGTCGATCTCGATCTCCTCGGGGTTGGAGTCGCGCAGGGAGGGCTCCCGCGACTGGATGATGTGCACCACCCGGCCCAGCTTCTCCCCCGGCAGCTTGTTGATGTCCAGGCTGAGCTGGCGCTTCTCGTCGTAGGTCATGGGCTTGCTCTCCTCCTCCTCCTCCGAGTCGTACAGCATGGGGACAGGCGGGGGGAGGGCCTTCGGGGGGGCCTTCTTGGAGTTCCTGGGGAAGGGAAGGGAGGAGACAAGCCACGGGGCATTAGCAGAGCGCACCACCACCACCCCGGCCCACGAGGCGGCTGGTGTTGAGCCGCAGCCGTCAGCCTGTCTTGGCTTGGTTGACACAAGGACTTCACCACGGTCGATCTGCCGGGGAAAGAGGGTCATCACGCAGCTGGGAAAGGACTCTCAAAACATCGCCCCCCCCCCCGATCTGTCCCCAGTCCCATCCCCCCCCCACTCACTTGCTGCTGCCACCGCCACTGCCTCCCGCTTTCTTGGACTTCTTGAGCTGGGCCTGGTGGGCCCGGGCCTCCTCGTCCCCTGCTTTGGCCTTGCGCTTCTCCGACTTCTTTTTCTTCTTCTTCTCCTTCTTGTCCCGCTTCTTCTTGGGCTTGGAGACTGGTCCCTGGGAGAGGGCCGCCAGCTGCTCGTGCACGGCCCGCAGCTGGAGGGGAAAGGAGAGAGACACGGAGTGGCGGGGCGGCTCTCGGTGGCTACGGCCTGGCCGCTGGAGGGAGGCGCCCGAGAGCGGGGCCCGCTCTGCCTCACCTGTTCCTGGAGCTCGGCCAGACGGTTGCCCCGTTCCTCCTCGGAGTCGGAGCTCTCCTCGCTGTCGGAAGTGCTCTCGCTGCTGATGTCGTCGTCTTCGTCCCCTTCCTCCTCCTCCTCCTCGTCGCTGGAAGACTCGTCTGTGGAGGACTTCATCAGGAGCCCCGGCTGTGGGAGTGACGTGGAGGGGGGGTTGATGTCTAGGGGTTCATCTGGCATCTTGGCGTAGCTGAACTCAAAGACATCCTGCGGAGGGAGGGAGGGAGGGAGAGAGGAAGGAAGGAAGGAAGGAAGGAATGACGACCGCCAAGGGCAGAGGGGGTACGGTGTGCCCGCCAGCTCCACCGCCCGCCGGCTTACCTGCAATTTGCGAGCCATGGCCACCACGTCGTGGTCAGGAGGGTTGTACTTGTAGCAGTTGGAGAACATCAGCCGCACATCGGACGCAAACTCCTGTGCATCGCGGTATTCCCGGTTCTCCATCTTGCGCTGTGTAAACAAGGCAGGCAGAGAGGGATACTTACAAGAAAGGGCCAACAGAAGAACATAAGAGAAGCCATGTTGGATCAGGCCAATGAACACCCCCCCCAGTCCAACGCTCTAAAGCAGGGGTGTCAAACATGCGGCCCGGGGGCCAGATGAGGCCCCTGGAGGGCTTCTGTCAGGCCCGCAATGGAACTGGCCATCTCCCGCTTCCAGTTCTGTTGTTGCTGCTGCAGCATCATAGCTTGCTTTGCCAGACTCTCTTAATCGCTCGGCCATTTCTGTTTCATGTTTCAACCTGGGTCCTCGACTCAGAACTCTGAGCATGAGATTTCTGTGGCAAATCTCAATAAGTCAAAAGTAGGTTTTGCAGTTTAAGAATACACACTTAAACAGCATTCTCAAGATAGCAACAGCACAGACATTTTGATGCAATAATTCAGAGCAAGAGGTGTCAGTTATCAGACACTGTTAAATAAACAAAATGTTGCAAGAGGGCTAATGTTCTACGCATGTTTTTATTTTAAGTTTAAAAAAACCCCAAACCTTTGTGTTTGTGTCCTTTATAAAGTTTGTATCTCCGCTACCTGGCATGACATTTTATGACACATGTGGCCCGGCCCGACGAGGTCTCATTTATGTCAGATCTGGCCCTCATAACAAATGAGTTCGACACCCCTGCTCTAAAGTGTCACCCAGTGGCCAAAACCCAGGTGCCCATAGGAGGTGTCCAACAGTGTGGGTCAGAACTCCAGTGAGGCATCACATCAATCCCCCCCCATACAATCCAGGTTCCAATAGCACAATCGCAAAAAAGGCACAGCTAGTAAAACCCGCTACCCAATGTTCTTGTCCACACAAGAAACAGCTTTAAAATACAGAATCCGCTTCCGTGTATTTCAATGAGCAGATAGTGCGTACGGGGTTGAGAACCCGTGTCTCTCCTCACGGATGGGTAACCCTGCCCAAATTCCTCCTTCTCATCCGACATTCCCACATGGTATTCCCCCGTTTCACAATGCAATCTACAGCATATGATGAATTCACCCACTTCAGGGACTTCTGGCCCAACTAAAGCTTGCACTGGGGCTACTGCGCAGACTCTAATCTGGGAGAACCGGGTTTGATTCCCCATTCCTCCACTTGCACCTGCTGGATGACCTTGGGCAAGCCGTAGTTCTAATAAGAGCTGTTCTTATTTATTTCATTTATTGATTAAATTTATACCCCGCCCTACCCCACAAGCGGGCTCAGGGTGGCTTACATAATTGGTCTACAGGTGACCGTACATTCACATAAAAACAATTTAAAATTCAATACAATAAGCTAGAACACAACCTCAAAGTGCTAGTGCACTGAATGCCTAAGATGGCACGCTGAAATTACCATACAACCACAGTTTCGCTCAATGATCTTTCAGAGCACGATGGTAGCGGCCAGATATTTGTACTATGGGCTGGCTCATTGGTGGTTGGGGGTGGTGGCTCCTAGTTGAAAGCCTGGTGGAAGAGCTCCATCTTGCAGGGCGTGCGGAACTGCATAAGATCCCGCAGGGCCCTGATCTCCCCTGGGAGCTCGTTCCACCAGGGCGGAGCCGCCACCGAAAAGGCCCTGGCCCTAGTAGTGGCGAGCCTGGCATCCTTGGGGCCCGGTAGGGCCAGTCGGTTCAGGGACCCCGACCTCAGTGCTCTTTGGGGTATATATATGGGTAAAGGCGGTCCCGCAGGTACGTTGGACCCTTGAAAAAGAGCAGCTTCTGTCAAGAGCTCTCAGCCCCACCTCACAGGATGTGTCTGTTGTGGGGAGGGGAAGGGAAAGGAGTTTGTAAGCCTCTCTGAGACTCCCTCGGGTAGTGAAGCGCGGGATATAGATGCACTCTCTTCTACTGAAAGAACTAAGGGCAAGCCCCAACTGCTTTGCCGTCTGTCCACCACCGCCCCCTATACCTCGATGGGGGTCAGAGCCCTGGGGTGTCTTCCCCATCACCGCCAGCCCCTGCATGACAAACACCTCCCCCCCCTACCTTGATGGTGCTGAGATCCATGGGGTGCTTGATGATCTCGTGGTAGTCATGGAGTCCGAGCGCAGAGGCGTCCACCGGCTTGTAGAAGGGCCAGGCGTAGGCGGCGTGCTTCTTGGACACCAGCTCCTTGAGGATGCCGTTGCAGTACTTGAGCTGCTCGGAGAGCTTGCCCCGCTTGGAGGTCTGGTGCTGCTGGGAGTCCGGGAGGTCCTTGCGGGGGGGCTTGATGGGGCGGCCGCTCTCCCGCCGGGCGGGGATCTTGGCCGCCTTGACCTCCAGCACGCTGGCCGAGGGAGAGGACTCCCCCCCGCTGGTGGCAATGATGGCCGTGGGGGTCGGGGTGGTCGTGTCCGCTTTCCGCTTCACGCCCTTCTTCTGCGGAGGCGGGAGACAAAGAGCCCCGTGGACTTCCAGGCAGGGAGGCAAAGGAAGAGCACAGCCGGCGAGGCCCCCGCCGATCCTCCCCCCGCGCCCCGCCTCCGCCCCTTGCTCACCTTGGCCACGGGCGGAGCGGGGGCGGGCACTGCGAGCACCGGCTGGGAGGCGGCCGTGGCGTGGAGGGGTTTCAGGAGCGGCGTGGCGATGACGGAGGGGTGGGGGATGCTGATGATCGTGGTGGGGATGTCCGTGCTGGGGGGGAAGAGCTGCGTGTGGGACACGGAGGAGACGGCGGGGACCTGATGGGCTGCCGCCTGGAGGGCTGGGGAGGCAAGGGGAGGACGCGTCAGGACCCCGGACTCAGGCTGTCCGCGGCGGTTGCCTGCCGCCCTCACCAACACATGCCAAAGCAAGCAAGTGGGGCCCCCCCTTCTCGGTGCCCCAAACCAGGGGCGGCCGGGGGGGGGCGAAGGGGAAGCATGCTTTTCCTCCCTCCCTCCCTTTCCTGTCTGTCTCTCTCTCTCTCTCTCTCCACCTCCCACTCAATGTTCCCTCTAAGCCGTGGAGTCTTGTGAGTAAAAATTCTACTTGGTGAGCCCCTGGCATTAAAAGTTGTGATCGAACAATTTGGCCGCTGCATCACTTAGTTTGCTCTGGAGCCCTCCTTCCTAAGCAGAGACCAAAACCAGTGAGCTGCTGGGAAAAAGGCAGTGAGCTTGCTCACACGAACTCAGCTTAGAGGAAACACCGCTCCCACTGGCTCAGACAAATAAATACTATCAGCAAACAAGTATCATTGGGCAAATAAATATCATCAATTTCTGTTCTTACTCCCTTTGCTTTTATTTTTGGCAGTCTCCTTTATAATGTTAACAAAAAGCAAATCTGCACATTTTAATAAAAACATGTCATAGTTATGTCTTGCAACTCTCAAATACCAAACGTTTATTCTACGCGGCTCTTATGTTAAGCGAGTTCGGCCACCCCAAACCCACCTTTCTCAAGAGAAACCAACCCCCTTTCCCACCCCAAGCCGCCGGAACAGCATTCACCCCACACCCCTCAGGAGCTGCCAGACACGCTTTCCTCCTCTGCCCCCTTGAAATAGCCCCAGCGCAACCCCGGGAGCGTGGCTGGGCGTGGGTGAGCAGCCACCCAGTGGCGTCCCGATCCACACGAACCACTCTGGCTCTCTCCCGCCACCTGTGAGCTGAGAGGAGGGGAGACCCCGACCGGCAGCCCTCCGCAGGGTTCCATGGCCACGGGGTGTGTGTGTGTGTGTGTCCTGCCCCACAGCTACCTACCCGCCGCCCGGGAGGCCCCTTTCTTGTGGCTGTTCTTGGCCACCGTGACGACGATCTCTTGCTCCTCCTGGGGCATCTGGGCGACCTTCTGCAGGAAGATCTTCTCCAGGGTTTGGGCCATCAGCACGATGTCATCCGTGGGCTGGGAGGAGGGGAGGGGCCGTCAGCCAAGCACAAAAGGGAGTTCCTCGCCACACGGCAGTCTGGGGCCCACCACCGACCGGCTGTGCCTTCTCCCCCCCCCTCTTTCTGTCTCCCCCAATCTACGTTCTACCCACCAACTTCCACCGGCAGATTCCCCAGCCAGCCAGCCAGCTCCGGGCCCCACCTTGTTGTAGATGTAGCAGTTGGTGAACATGGTGTTGAAGTCCTGCATGCACTCGGCCGAGCTCCAGTAGTAGTTGTTCTCCAGCCGCCGCTTGATGGTCCCCATGTCCATCGGCTGCTTGATGATCTTGTGGTAGTCCTAGAGAGAAAGGAGCGAAGGAGGTCAGGCGGGCGGGGCAGACTCCCCAGGCACGCTCTGCCCTGCCCCTCTCGCCTGCCATGCCACACAGCGTGGTGGGGAGGGATCCCAAGCTGGTGCCAACAGAGTCCTGCTCGATACCCAAGGCATGGTTCTGCCCGGGGGGGCTCCTGCCTCAAAGACTGCCGGGGGAGGGCCAAGGACCGAGACGTCCCCCTTGCTCAGCAGAGCCTGGATTCCTGCCCCTTCCTTTTCCTCGGGGCAGCCTAGACCCTGCACCTGAAGGGAGACTCCCCCAAGGCACGGCTGTGCCGGGAAAGACAGGAGAGGCGCCCCCCGAGGGAGCGCGCAGAAGAGGCAGGGCAACGAGAAAGCTAGGCAAGCAGAAGCCTATGTGGGTTTTTACCTCCGGGCTTTAACTCCTTAGGTGCCACAGGCGCGGGGGGCCTTTAATTTGGGGGCCACGGGATGTCTTCTACAAAGTCATGGATGGGAATCTGCAAAACGCATTCAGGGCACAAGAGATTAGATTTCCGGGGTGGTGGCGGCGTGATAGCGCAAAAGCGGCTGCGTCATCTCATCCATACCTTTGTAGGGACCATCGGGGGACAACAGCTGTTCCTGGGGCAAGCCCAGGGGAGACTGAGGGAGGGCCTGCCGCTGGGGCTTGAGGACACCCAACCGCCCTTCACTAACACGGGAGAAGCGGAACAAGCCGGGGGCCAAGCCTTTGCGCCCTCCAGCCCAGCCCCTCCCACACTACAAGGAGTCTCGTTTATTTCCAAACTAGTCTCGGGCACAAATCAGGAGCTGCCTTCTCAAAGCAGAGAAAAAAGGCTGCCTTGCGTGCTTAAGAACCCTCATTTCCTACCACCAGCCTGCAAGAGAGCCCTGCCTGCCCCAAGTGGGGTGGGCTTTAACAGGGAACACCCCACCCCCACCCTCTAAGCTGAACTAGTGTGAGCTAAGCTCATGGATTGCTGGCCTCCGGCTTACACATTTTTGCCTTTGCTCAGGAAGGAGCAAACTAATGTATACAGTGGCCGAATCGCTCACTCACAACTTTATTGCCCATAGCTCACAAGGGAGACTTTTTGATCACAAGACCCCACAAGCTTAGAGGGAGCATTGCCCCCCACGCCCCTTCCTACTTCAGCGGGGCCTTCCCCAGAGAAGCCCATCTCCAGCACCACCTGTTGCCCACGGCAGGCGTGGGAGGGGCAGGAAGTGATCCGGTTGCCACAGCAACAGCCGAGGCGGCCTCCCTCCCTCCCCCCCCCCAGCAGGGAAGGAAAGCAGGCTGAGAGGCGCATGTTACCGGCAGGCCCAGCTTGACGGCATCCACCGGCTGGCGGAAGGGCCAGGCAAACTGGTGCTTCCAGAGGGCCTTCATCACCACTTTGTGGAGGTACTGCAGCTGGTTGGTTACCCGGCCGGGCTTCTTGCAGTTGGAGACCTCCGGCGGGGGCGGGTTGGAGGAGGCCAGCTGGAGGGCCGTCGGGACGGAGGCCACGGTGGGGCTCTCAAAGCCCTCGTACAGCAGCGAGGGCTTCCGGATGCGCTTCCCTGGCGTGGACTCCACGGCCAGCCCCACGAGGCCCGCATTGCCCTCCCCAAGGATCCTGCGGGAACAAGGGGGCAGAGGGAGCCGGTCAGGAGGGGGTTGGAATCCGGCCGGCCGGCCTGCGGGGCCCCCTCCCCAACAGAAATCAACCTGCCTGCAACCCAAGAGATGCTAGATCGAACCAGTGCCGGGGGACCAGAAAAAGCCCAACCAGTGCAGCCAGAAAGGAAAACAACAACAGCGGGTTCGCTGCACACACACACACCCCGCTGCTTCAAGCAGGTTGGCATTTCCCTAGACGGGGCACAGCAATCTGCGACTCCCAGCACAATCCTGGAAGCGGCTGTTCTCTCTGAAGCAAGCTGGAATACCACCCTCCCCTCCCATCGTCGGCTCACTTGCTGGCAAGGCAAGAATCCCCATCTTGATTTTTCTGCAAATGTATGCATATAAGCACACAAACACACCCCACCGTTCACAGACAGCCTTTGGGGTGGAAGAATCCAATGCATTGGCTTGGGACTGTGCCCACCAGGGTAGGGCCTTTTAAACCCCGGGGGGTCACGTCTATTTGACACCACCGTCCTCAGGAGTGATACCAGCCCTGTTCAGAAACAAGCTTTCCGTTGCGCCGACCCCCAGAACTTATTTACACCTTTATTGACACCATACTTATTTACAGCCCGTGAGAAAACAACAAAACCCTGAAGAGCTCAAGATTGCATCTTGCTACATCAATAAGGAGAACGTCAACAAAATAGGAAAGGCTGAAGGTGGAAAAATAAGGCTGGCTCTTCTTATTGGGGGGGCAGTGATGAATCTGGCAGGGTCTGTGCTGGGAAAGGACAGGAACCCCCAGATTCAGCCACCCCCCCCCCAAGACTTCAACCGGAAGAAGCGGCCAGCCTAGCCAGTCTTCCTAGGCTGCCCTTCCATTGCCCACACAATACCCCCGGGGGTGCGTGTCCAGCTATCCCCCCCCCAAAAAGAGGGGCAAACACGACCTGCCAGCAGAGGCAGAAGGGGGGGGGGAGAAGAAGCACCGCTCCAGCAAGCGCTGGGTTGTCTGGGACCTAGCTGGGGAAGGTGGGCCACCCCCATCCAGGATGCATCCCCTTCCCAAGCAAGGGGGAGGCGCAGGGATGGCTAAGCCGCGGAGAGAGCACAAACATTCCACCCTCCGACTCGCAAAGACAGGAACGCAGCCGTGCACGCGACGATACACCCTTCCCCAAAACAGAGGGACCCCCCCACCCCCCTTTCCCCGGGCGGCGCGCGCCGGATTACGTACTTGCCGTTGGGGTTCACGTTCTGCAACATGCCTCCTCCGCCGCCGCCTGCAGCTCCCGGGGGCCCGGCTCTCTCCCGGGTCGGTCCCGCTCCTGCCGCCGGCGCCTCCGTGGCCTCGGGGAACCCCCCCACTTTGCTCGGGTGGCTGGGCGCTCCGCGGCGGGGAAGGGGGAGGAACTCAGGGGCGCATCGCCCGCCCGCCGTGCGGGGAGGTAAAGGGGGGGGGGGAGCTG